TGTACTGATCCGTCAGAACGCAGAGTGCTAGTGACCATATATTCCGCCATGGTTCTGAGCCAGCTACATGCAAACAAAGCGCAATGCAACAACAACAGTCCCAAGCATGCACAAGAAGAGACCAGGTGGATGTACTCATCAGGATCTGCTTTTGACAGTGCTTCCCACAGCTGCTGGATAAGTTCTTGTACTGAGAGTTGACCTGCAATGTCGGGGAAGGCCGCCTTGGTGAGTTCAAATATGAGTGCACCGAAGACCGTGAGGAAGGGAGCTGCCCATGTGCGAAAGAATGAAATGATGGGTCGAGCTTTCTGCCAGTCCTTGGTCGGCTTTGGGAGGATGCGCGCTGTGGGCAACGGTGCTTGAAGTCGAAGTCCCCATGCATATCGTTGACGTAGGAGAGAAGGTACCGTGGTTACCACTTCAGAGCGAAAGGATGCTGCGGATTCGCGGCAAAGTGAGAAGACATCCCCCGCGCAGAATGTCTTCCGCATCAATATGGCAAACAGGGACGGGCACATCACATGTGCGCGGGAGGGAAAATGATCCGCTGGGATAACTACCCACGAAGACAAAGAAGCCACAGTGCGTTGCAACGATGTCGATGACCAATAAGCCCGATCTTGGAGGTTCATCCGATGAGTATCCATTAACTGAGTCACAACCGGCTGTAGATCTGAAAGTAGACCGGAACCATGTACATGCCAGCGGCGAGCAAGTTTGCGAAGTTGTGTGGTGAAACGTTGATGCAATAAGTCGACATCACCGAAAAACTGATCCTTCATTGAGGCGGCCATGATTTCAATGTTAATGTCCGCATTGATGCGAGAAAACTCATCCACCATTACTGCGTGACCATGTGCACGGTGTAGATGGTGATCATCGATGTCCAAACAGCGACACGGAAAGGATGTGTCAGGCGTCCATTTGCGCTGCCATGTGCGATAGTTGTATATCTTGTCACCCAATGTGGCGCTGCGAGTTTCCACAACCCGGATCTTTGGAATGAAAAGAGAAGGGAACAGATCCCGATGAGAAGCAATCCAGCTTTGTAACCATGTGCCAAGTAGAGCTTTCCAATTCTGGACATGTAGCGGCGGCAAGAGTAGCTGTGTCAAAGTGGTGGGTGGTTGTAGCCGTCGTTTGCGCAGTACCTGGGCGAGGAGCTTCTGGGCCTTGGAGCGGAAGGGCTCGTTGACAAAGACTGCGAGCCGCAATAAGTAGTACAGCTGAGTGGGAGGGAAAGCGGCCGACAGTAGGTCACGCATGACTTGGAACGACGCTCCTGTATTCGATCCCAGCTGATAGAGAATCGAGTAGTGGGCTTGAATGTCATCCAGGGTGTCAGGTCGTAGTTGCCGTTGGAGATCCGGATGTAGTCGTCGTCGAAAGCGCTTGTGCAAGCCGAGGGAAGTGGGCGACGACAACGAGTGGCGTCGAAAATCTACAAGATGTTCCCGGAAGCCCACCTTGCGCAAGATTCTGTGTACCCAGGGCGCATTCAAATGCGGGCGTAGCAGGTATTGCCATTTGCTTTCTTGAACCCACACCGAGGAAACTGGAAGTTTGATTTCCACTGGTACAGCACAGAAGAGCCAGTAAGTATTGGATCGTTTCCAGTAGTGAAGCGCCGGTTCAAAGAAGGCATGCCGTCCACGAAGTAGTTGTAGAAATTTGCGACTGCGTGAGTGTTCACGACGTAGAACATCCTGATCAGTCGCCCCAACATAGTATGGTGTGTGCCATGGGGAAAGTCGAATGTAGACGCACGGTTGTTGGTGATGACCTGGATCATGTATGAAGTCGTAGAGGTCAGGAAATCGCGCCCGCAATGAGCGTAGATGTCGCGTGTCAGCGAAAGTTGAGTGCATGATTTCACACAAGAGAGAAGTCTTGTAGAAGTGAAGGACTTCGAAGAACGGCGGGAAGTAGCCGTGATCTTGTGAAATGAGACGTTGTAAGAAACTGATCAATAAATAGGCAGCGCACCGACATCTGTGAAGCTCGTACCTGTTGGCCACGGTGTGCTGAGAGTTGGACATAGCGCGATTCGGAATCTGAAGGGCTATCCGGACCACAACTAAGACCTCGAGGATGAGACCCAGCCACGGCAATTGTGTGATGGATTCGTACTCCTCAATTGGAATCGACGGTGGTGGTAGTCCAGGAAAACAGTAATGCCAGCACGTAGAGAATATGGTCAACGAGTGCAGAAGGTCGTCCAGCGACTGCCATTGTGCAACATCATCATAGATTCCGCAGCGGCGAAGTTCATCCAACATGGTGAGATGCAACCAACGAAATCTACCACAAGGCGGCGACATGAATACAAGCATCACAGACAATCACACAAGAGGCAATGCAAGAACAAGCAAGTACAAGATCAATCAGGTGCAACGCAGACACTTGACGGACGAGTTTTCACCTGGACTCATCCGTGACATTGTTGCCGCTCCGGGCTCATATGAGAACGAAGGTCATCATGATGCCTTCTCATCCACAGAGCAGGCGAGCGGTCACGATGAGGTGACTCAATGCCTTCTCAGTGAGTTTGGTAAGATAGCCGGGTTCTAGTCCCCACGAAGCCGCCATTGCCCCGAGAGTGGGTGCATCGCCTTTCGGCATGCGTTGCCTCGCCTGAAGAAGCTGCGTCGCCATAGAATCTAATGACTTGTTGCCGTTGAGCCGGGACGGGTGATTGGCCCACTTAACCAGCGATGCCAAAGTGGTTGTTGTGGGTGCTTGCTTGAGGAAAAGGCGAGGTTGGTCACTGGTCCATGTGTAGTACTTGACAACTTCATCCGGCGTGCTGTGCATGGTGAGCAATTGTGACGCCGCCGGTTTGGACGGCGGTGACGACACTCCGTGAAGAGACTGCATGATCCGAGGTTGCACCACGCTATCAAACGACTTGCCATCCAGGGCGGCCGCGCTGGCTGTGGGAAGGGAGCTGGCAGGTGACGAGGATGGTGTGTGGTTGACCGGTGGCGGTGTAACCAACTCTGCATCATCCTTCTGGTTTGTCATCGTGGGAGAGGTCGATGCGCGAAGTGATGCGGAATACTGAGCTTGGAGAAGTTCGTGCGCACGATTCAAATCATTGAACTTTTTGACCATGTCATCGGTCTGGGCGGCAGGTGCGAGAGAGGTGTGATGTTGTTGAAGAAATTGAAGTACCAAGTTGGCCAAATGGTCGTGGACCTTGATGCGCTGATTGAAGTCATCAATGTTGAGACCCAGCGTGTTGGCAAGGTCCTTTTCCAGGGTGAGCAGGTTGAGTGACTGCGATCTTCGTAGTAATTTGGAGCAGGTACTCCAAAGTAAGGCCTCAGTGCGGGTGCGAAAGCCTTCCCACGTCACGAATCGGCCGTGTGCAAACGGCCTGAGTAGCCAGTTGGTGAGGCCCCCGTGGATAACCTGAACCAGGCGTACGTCCCTAATATCCATGCCTGACATGTCGCGAAGGTTGCCATGCGGAGTGTTGGCAACAGTCATGGGCAGGCTGAAGTTGTAGAGTTGATTGACATCAAACATGCCGTCTCCAGGTGTCCAGTCAGGCGAGGGAGTAAGCCAGGCTTTCTGAGGACGAACCGGTAGAGCCGCAGGAGGTCCAGGTGACGGTGTAGGTTGGGAAGTAGTGACCGGTGGTGGCATCACTGGTGGCATGAACTTGGATGGCGTGGGATCAGGAGGGATCGGCATCATGTAGTTGATCGCCGGGTATTGGAATTGTTGTGTGGGGTTGTGAGTCGATTGAAAATTGGTAGGCATCATCGGAAAGTTGTTAGCAGCGTTGTAGCCGGAGTTGTGTTGCCATGAAACCAAGTTGTTCCAATCCATGTTGTCCGAGACCTGGTTGTCATTGTGCTCACGTCGGCGTGCTTTGTGAGCTTGAGGGGACGGACTCCGATCACGTCTGCGTCGAGTCCTGGATCTATCACGATCATCACGTCGAGACATGGTGACGCAACTGACTCTGAATTTGCACACTTCCACCTTGAGAGAATCAGACCCGACAACATTCAAATCAATGCAAATGCAAGTTAGCGGCCCTCAACTGCAATGGTCGATCGACATGTACAAGGCAAAGCAAATACAAGTCAGCAATCGTCAACCGCAGTGATACGAGCAACAAGTTCAACCAATGGTCAGGAAATGCAATGAAAATCGGCAGCTATCAACTGTGGTGAGACGTCGCTATGATCTGACGGCTTTCTTCCCTTTAGTGAAACCTCGTTCCTGGTTAAATGTGAAATTCCGCTGTTCTATGATAAGCACGTTGAGGTCAAATTTTCCGACAGAGCCGGCCCGGGGTCACACAATGGGTACACCCGAGGATTCCCCACGAATGGGGTGTACACACTTGAACTCCAGATGGAGAGTGCTAATCTTTCGAGTACAACTGATGAGTCTCGAGTACAACCGACAAGTCTCGAGTATGATGAGTTTCGGCTCGCAAGGCACTCTGTTTCCCTCTAGAGGCGAAAACGTTACAGAATCAACATGAAGCACACACAGCGAGAGAAACAACAGGCCAAAAGGACTTTACATCACCAACTCCAAATGTCGCAGGTACGTCGAGGTGATCAGCCTCGATATCCGCATTTGCTGTGGCCGCTTCGTTGGACCATCGCACACAGCAAACGGATGGTCCCCCTGCTGCAACAGAAAACGGTTTTGGTGGCAGGGTTTTCTGCCACTCCGCACACACACACACACGCACGCACGCACGCACGCACGCACGCACGCACGCACGCACGCACGCACGCACGCACGCACGCACCCACACACACACACACCCACGCACGCACGCACGCACGCACGCACGCATGCACGCACGCATGCATGCACGCATGAACGCATGCACGCACGCAGGCACACAGGCACACAGGCACACAGGCACACAGACACTCAGACACACAGACACACAGACACGCAGACACACAGACACACCGGGCTCCCTTCAGCTCCAGGAATTTTGGCCTCTGACGCCAAGGCTCCCCGACATCTCCGTGCCATTTAGCCTCAGAAGCGGATTTACAGGTAATACATGATCCGCATGTTGGTTTGTCTTTACATGGGGGGGAGGTGTTCGGGGGTCCGAAAGAAGCTAAACTTAAGTGGTTTGAGTGGCTTCTCGCAAACCTGCAAAGTTGCCAAGCTGGCCAAAGCGGCATATCCTGGCACGTGCTCGAGCCCTTGGGCTCGCATACAACATTGTCGAGCCGGTCAAACATGAACCTTTGCTTCGCAGGCTGCCACAACTTCCTGCGAGGCGCCGGCAAAGCTCTGCGAAATCGGGCGAAGCTCTGCGTGCGCCAACTGACGAAAAATCGGTGAGGTTCTACTTGGCTGTGGGTCAAAAAACAGGTACCTAAAATGGAACCCTGGTCAATGGAGACAAGGACTGAAACCTGCGGTCCAATTCCTGGTGGTTCAATTTTGACCCGTACCCACTTGGGCTCTTTAGCAGAGTTGGCATGTTTTGGCACGCGCCTGTAATCAGTGATCATCATCTCGTACTTCTGGCGGACGGCTTCGTATAAGTCCTTCCTCGCGCGCACGGGACGCAGAAACATCTTCAAGAAATGCAACGTTGACAAGCACATAAAAGGAAGCGGGAATAACCTATGTTGCCAGAGGAAAAAAAACACACACACACACACACACACACACAAGAAACAAGAAACAAGGCGCCTCTTGTCAACGTAGTCGCTCACATCGTCCTGGCAGTTGACAACGCAGCCATCCGCATTCCCGCAGCACGCCAGCTTTTGCGCTGAAACAGCTGTACCGGCCGCGATCCTTGGGCTGGCCGCTTGAGAATTGATGGGTGGCATTTTCAAGAGAGCCTCTCAACATGGAGGTTCGCGGCGGGTGCTTTGGAATCACCTGAACCAAAAGAACCTTGGATGGGCGCGGCGCCGGGCCCATTGACCCAGACGCGCGCTTTGTGCGACATGAGTTTGCGCGACTGATGCAGCTTGAGGTGCAGATTCGTGAGGGCCCTGCCGTTGAACCTCAAGTTGCCAAGGCGCTGTCCCTGACGTCGCCCGCGTTTGTGCGATTGGGTCCGGCTCCGCCCGAACCCGTCCCGAATTTAGGGAGAAGCACGTCGCGCCAAACGTAGTTTGCGCTTGCCGGCGCAACTCTGTTGTAAGGTCAAGCACAGATTTCGTGAGAGGCGCAGCGCTTTCTCACAGTCAAGCGCAGATTGTGCGACAAGCGCGCAAACTGCCAATATCGTGGCAGGTGCGGCGCCACCATCCGTTAAAAATATCCCCCCAAACACAGCGACACCCCTTTTGCTTTTATAGCGACCGCACTTTGACCGCAACTCAAGTATTTGGATTGCTTGGGACGTATCGAATGTTTAAATTGTTTACTTTGTTTGGAACGCTTCGGACGTTTGGAACGAACGCTTCCAACATTTCGAACGCTTGGAGCGTTTGGAACGTTTCGAACGTTTTTGTCGTTTAGAAGGTTTGGAACTTTTCGGCTGTTTTGAGCGTTGCCTTCCAGTGTTGCGATCACTTCGAGCGTTTCGAGCGTTTCGGACGCGTTAAAAGTTTGGAATGTTTGAGCATGTCGATCGCTTCGAACGTTCCGCGCGTCGAACACTTCGAACGATTGGAACGTTCTGCAAGGTTCGAGCGTTTGGAATGCTTGGAACATTTCAAACTTCTTGGGCATGTCGAACGTTTGGAACGTTTCGAACGTTGGGAACGTTCCAGACGTTTCGAATGTTTGGAACGGTTCCATCACTTGCGCCGCGTGGAACGGTTGGAACGTTTGGAATATCTCAAATGTTTCGAACGTTTTGAACGATTGGATTATTTCTATCTTTTGGATCATTCCGATGGCTTGGAAATTTCCTACGTTTCGAAATTTGCAGGTTTCCAGCGATTCGAACTTTTGGAAGGTGTCGAAAGTTTGGGGCTTGTGGAGCGTTGGGCGTGTCGAATGTTTGGAATGCTTGGCACGTTTGGAGTTGGAACGTTTGTAACGTTTGGGACATTTGGAACGCTGCGAACGTTTCGAAGCTGGAACGTACGTTTGGAACGTTTCGAAAGTTTCGGATGTTTGGGACTATGCTCACATGAATGGAGAGTATGACGGAACATGTGCACCGTGTCTCACGGTAGGCGTGTCCCCCTCGTGCCAAACAGTTTTACAAACATGACGAGATTCGTGAAACGGGGGCCGCAACTCATGGTGAAATCCCGCACGCAACAAGCACAGTTGGTTCTGCCCAGCAGATGGGACCCGATCAACAACAACAAGATGTCAGCAGAGCACACGGCATCCACAAGAGCCGCACTCATCGCTGAGACAAGGGTCGAAAAGCTTCCATGTGTTCCATTGGAATGTGAGAGCACAGAAATGAGCTTACAGGTCTAGATGTGTCCAGACTACGTGGTGAGCTCCGGGAAAAGATAAGAACTGCTAAGCAACAACACTCCTTCTGGGAAAGGATCCACAAGGTCACACAGGTCCATAAATGTTCTGCAAGGTTCCGTGCTTTGCCCTGGAGGGAAGCAATGTGTCGTGCGCACGCAGTCTGAAAAGCCATCGGAGCAGTAAATGGAGGGCTCAGAAGATCGCTTTGCTCGTGGGCAGAACACCAAGCAAAACGGAAATCAATGGTTTTCAGCACACTTTCATCGTTTTGCTCACTTGCTTAGACAACGCGGCCCGAAGTGTTGGCTTTGTGGCAAATCAGATCACGTTGCTGCGGGGCTCACTGTCCACAGAGTAAATGAGTATTACTTGGCGCTGCGAGGGCTATGGGTTTCCACCAGGTTCTGCAAAAGCTATGGGGCAGCCCTGAGGAAAAAGGTTCCAACAAAGTTTCACGCTGAGTTCCACGAGGTTTGTGAGGCTCACCGGGCCCAAGTCGGGGCCCGATTGCACCGTCAGGGCCCGTTTGCACCGTCGGGGCCCGATCGGGCCTTGATTGCGCTCCCAAGCTGGCATCGCCTAGTTTTGCTAGTCGATTACGCCGTCGGGCCCCGATCAAGGCGCGACTGCGCTGTCTTTGCTATATAATGTTACAAGGCGGCATCCTCAGCAAACCGGGTTCCGGGGCGGGTTCCGCGAGGACTCTGGGAGGGTGCGGTGCTGTTCAATATCGCCTGAGCTTATTCTTATGAAATTTCATGTTCTCGCTCGGGCGTTCCAGAAAATCTCACTGTGATTCTTGGAGTAGTCGATGTCTATCGAGATTCAATCCGTGTACATATCTTGGTACTCAAGTTCAACAAAGAAGCACGTGTAAAATACTGCACGATACCGATGTTTTGACTGGCTACGGAAACATGTCTCCCGATATGCTATCACTGCATGCACATCCAGGCTTTTCGATTTGCGATTCCCGCAAGCTTGGTGCGACTAGAGACTACAGCTTGCGTAGCAAAACAATCTCCATAGCTCTCTGTCTTGTGGCACTGATATGTTTGTGTCTTCTGGGAACCAAACACTTTCATTGGCCCCCTATTTCCAACCTCAGGGGAAGAAGCTGGGGGGCAAGCCCCCCCATTGGCACAACAGATAAATACACCAATGGGAGAAGCGCGAGGTCGCAAAGCCAAGCAAAAGTCCCAAAACAAGAAGCGGGGCCACTAGAAACAAATGGAGACACTATGGGGCAAGGATGATCGAATGAGTGCATGAATGAATGATGGTTGCGTGCTGCACGTCACTGCCCAACCCAAAAGCAGGCACACCAACCTACAACAAAGGGCCAACGAACAAAAACAATTGATTAGCGAAAAACGAAAAAGGTTTCAAAAGTTCAGCAAATTCTGGATTTACAATACTTTCAGCCTAACCCTTCAACGAAGTGTTGATCTCTTGTATAGTCTTGGTGAGAAAACACTCTGAATTCTCTTTCACCTCTTGCCCCCGGAGTTTGTGCCGAGGATGTTGACAAACACACATTCGGAACCAAACACTGCCTACTTACATGTTTGGTCTTCCTCTTCCATTACATATGAAGTCGTCAGAACGGCGGAATGAGTTCCCGTGAAGAGACCACAATAAACCTTTCGATGAATGCCAAATTGCCTCCATCATGCGACGGCCGTGTTAGTTGGTTTCGGTATGAAATGAAGATCTGCATTCAAAAATAAATATTGAGCCTCATCGACAAGGACCGCTTCTCAACAACCGTCTCGGCGAGGACGCAGCCATGAGAGATCCTTCACAATTCCTTTCTTGAAAGGCGCACAGAATGCGTTCCTATATAGATTCCTCAGCTTCTTCAATCATTGCCGAGGAAACAGTGAATTCGTGATTCTCCTGCGAAGATTGAGAGCATCTTGGGAACACATTCAGACACGTCCGGACTACGTTCAGGCCATCAACGACGCAAATCAGAGAAGGCATGTTCGGCATACCGAAAGAGTATCCGAGATAGCGGACATGACGCAGGGACGGCTTTTACACTGTGAGGCTTACACTGCTCTTCATCAGACAGAGTCAGCCGACAGAAGGCCAGCGCGAACGCCTGGTACCTTCATTGACACATCCAACCTGTGAGACCGTCAAGGCCCAATACTTCCACCTTCTCATCATTTGAGCAAACCGTGAAGGAGACGAAGAAAGACGATGAAGGCGCAGAAGGCTTTTGCCCAATTGACGATGAAAACCGGACTCTCCGACTGTTCTTCAATACATAACCACCGACGGTGGCCTACAGCAACGTTTTTGAGCAAGGACAGATTCCGATTTTTCTTAGCGTTGGCCAGATGCGGAATCTCCACACGACGATTCAACACACTCCTCAATGTGACAAGATCACACACAGGGCGTTCGGCATGATTCAACAACCCATACCGGTATCCAAAACAACATGACTTCAGGACGGCGACAAAGGCAAGATCAAGCCATCCATCACTGCTATCGACAGCATTTCCAGTCGAGGCAGCATCCAAGGAACCATTGGTTCCGCATCGGTGCCAGCAGCACAAACAACGCAGACCACTGGGCATGTCAACAACAACCACTGGAAAATCCGTCACACCACCAAGGAACTCCACAGAGTTCACGTGTCCAAGACAAGAGGAGAGCATTGTTCGTACCTGATGCCAGCAAAACCTGTCCAACTGCACGCACCGATTTACAACCGCAGGAGCCACTATCTTCAACCGAAGCTTCTTCGAAGATTATTGGCGAGCCAAGGTAGCTTCGCTAAAGGCAACTCCAGAGTTGTGGACATGAAGCACAACGCTCAAGTTCTCTGCCAAGCCACTCACAGCAGAGCAAACTGACATTGACAGAAACATACCAGCACCAGGCCGGCAGGCTGCTGAGCCAAGAGATCCTGCTGCACCACAAGAAGCATCAGCAGATGCTCCACTCAAACAAACAGACCATTCCCGCTTGTACTGGGGCGCGTTCACACGCGACTCTCAACATCAGAAGAACTGCAAAGTCTTGTAACATCACCATATGTCAGGAGAGCAGTTCAGATGCTGCCGAAGGAGATCTGTGACCTCTACCACAAGATCAGAGC